AGTGATGAATTCCTCGCAGCTTCAACAAAGCAGAAGTAGGTCAGTAGTCTCTGCTCTTGTCACCCTTGAACACCTGTAAGAGTTTAGAGCTGCCAACTTATGTTAGGATTTAAGAAAGAAATTGATGAGGTTGACAGGTGGAACAATTCAGCCTATATGGGAATATTTGTAGATCAGGGTTGAAATGAGGGGTCCTTGTTGCTTCCTTGCAGATGTTTCATTATCCAAACTAGGTAACATCATCATGCTGGCACTGATGACGTTGCCTAGTTTGGTCATGAAACGTCTGCAAGGAAACAACCAAGCTCAGAGAGCACCAAGAACCCTCACAATTCTCCTTCTCCACTCTGCAAAACCCACTTCCTTCTAGCACTGATGACGTTACCTAGTTGGTCACAAAACATCTGCAAGGAAACAACCAAGCTCAGAGAGCACCAAGGACCCCTCAATTCAGCCTTCCGTATCACCCTGATCTTCTTGGCTTAGTCAGAGATGATGGTTTGGTTTTTCAGGTCTTACTTTTTTCAGCAACCATTTCTGAGAAACTCTGATTGGATTTACCACCATCACCCCCATAAATCCAAATTCTACGCAACTATGGATTGCTGTACATTTTTTTTATTTCCTGTGCAGAATAATGTCAGGTGAGAAAGAGCAGAATTGCTCATGAAGTTGAATTGTTTTGTTGCTCGTGCTTATGCGCAAGAATCTAGTCAATGAACAGCCATCACTATTTCGAGACTTAGACCGCTTGTGGGAACGTAGAGATTCTAGACTGATTCTTCTCTTGACACTTCCTCCAGTCTTGACTACTTCTTCTTTTACAAGTAGTTTACAGTTAATTGCAAGACCACAGGGGCCAGCTATGAAGCCTATTAGCAGCAGTCCTCAATGTACGACTGCAAGTGGTACTCAGCTGTACATTTCCACCCCAGACCACCCCAACGTTGCCCTTGACGTGATGGCCCGTTGCCTGGAGGCCGTACGGGTCTGGATGGGGAGGAACAGACTCAGGCTCAACCCTTCCAAGACCGAGTGGCTGTGGTTGCCAGCGCCTTGGCATAGTCAGCTGACGCCATCGCTGACTATAGGGGGCGAAACTTTGGCCCCCTCGGAGAGGGCGCGCAACTTGGGAGTCCTCCTGGATTCACGGCTGGCACTGGATGACCATCTGTCAGCCGTGACCAGGGGGGCGTTTTATCAGGTTCGCCTGATCCACCAGTTGCGGCCTTTTCTGGACCGGGACGCTTTGCGCACAGTCACTCATGCTCTCGTCACCTCCCGCCTGGACTACTGTAATGCTCTCTACATGGGGCTCCCTTTGAGGAGCACCCGGAGGCTTCAACTGGTCCAGAATGCGGCCGCGCGGGCGGTGTNTTCCCTCCCATAGACCGGTACGCTCCCACAGAGTGGGTCTCCTCAGGGTGCCGTCGGCCAAGCAGTGTCGGCTGGCGACCCCCAGGGGGAGGGCCTTCTCTGTGGGTGCCCCTGCCCTCTGGAACGAACTACCCCCCGAGATCCGGATGATTCCGGATCTCCTTACTTTCTGCCGCGCCCTCAAGACATGGCTTTTCCAGCAAGCGGGCCTGGCCTAGGGAGGATTTTAAATTGGGTTTCTTAGAAAATTTTAATACCACAACTCTAAAATATTTGGTTTTAATTTGGTTTTATTCGGTGGGGATTGTGGGTTTGTTTTTGTTTTAAAAAATGTTGTGAGCCGCCCTGAGTCCTTCGGGAGAAGGGCGGGATACAAATTGAATAAAATGAAATGAAAAAAAAATTGAGCACAAAATTTCTGTTCCTCTAAGCGAGACAATTGTTAAGTGAGTTTAGCCCCCTTTTACGGCCTTTCTTGCCATAGCTGTTACACCAGGGGTCTTCAAACTTGGCCCTTTTATGACTTGTGGACTTCAACTCCCAGAATTCCTCAGCCAGTGTGAGGGAACTATGACTCTTTTATGACTTGTGGACTTCAACTCCCAGAATTCCTCAGCCAGGCACGCTGGCTGAGGAATTCTGGGAGTTGAAGTCCACGAGTCATCAAAGGGCCAAGTTTGAAGACCCCTGTCTTAAATCTAACAAACAAAATGGAGGCTGGCTGAGGAATTCTGGGAGTTGAATTCCATGAGTCATCAAAGGGCCAAGTTTGAAGACCCCTGTCTTAAATCTAACAAACAAAATGGAGGCTGGCTGAGGAATTCTGGGAGTTGAAGTCAACGAGTCATCAAAGGGCCAAGTTTGAAGACCCCTGGGTTATGCAAATCACTGCAGTTCAGTTAGTAACACGGTTGTTAAATGAATATGGCTTCCCCACTGACTTTGCTTGTCAGAGGGTCGCCAAAGGGGGTCACATGACTCTGGGACACTGCAACCGTCACAAGTACGAGTCAGTGGCCAAGTGTCCGAATTTTGGTCACGTGACCCTGGGGATGTTGCAATGGTTGTAAGTGCGGAAAACGGTCATAAGTCCCTTTTTTCAGTGCTGTTGTAACTTCGATGGTCACTAAATGAACTGTGGTAAGTCGAGGACCTGCCTGTATGAAATTACAATGTTCTCAGACATACTGGCCAGAGGCCAGAGGCAATATCTGAGCAGGTTCATTCTTACTGGGACTCATCAGACATTTATAGGTAGTTTTTTCCTATGGGGTTCAACCCTCTATGAGAATTTCTATCTATCTATCTATCTATCTATCTATCTATCTATCTATCTATCTATCTATCTATCATCTATCCATCCATCCATCCATCCATCCATCTATCTTATCCATCCATCCATCCATCCATCCATCCATCCATCCATCCATCCATCCATCCATCCATCCATCCATCCATCTATCTATCTATCTATCTATCTATCTATCTATCTATCTATCTATCTATCATCTCCACTTGGAACAACTGAGGTCAAGTTGCAGTTAAGTGATTCTATCCTGGCTAACTTCATGGAGTGAACAAGAACTGAGCTTGACTTAGAGGTTTCGCCATTCTTCGTTCTGAGCTTAGTGCTAACTCTAAACTCTTACAAACGTTCAGAGTGATATAAGTAGCAACTACTAACCTACTTTTGCTTTCTTGCAGCTGCAACTACCTTCCCCAACCCTCCGATCTTGGTGGAACAGCCAAGAATCTGTACAATGACAGGCTGAGGAGACGGGACAAAAATTAAGTTGCCTGATTAATTTACTCATGTAGTAAGCTAGGGAGTAGTAATGGTTAAACTGGAGAGTAACTTCGAAGGTGGGGCAACCACTAGTTGAACGTAGTGAGCCAAGATGATGTGGTGGTTAACGTTGAGTAGCAACATCAAGGGTGGAAGGACCACTTGTCAAACATAGTGAGCCAAGATGATATAATGGTTAAGGCAAGGAATATAGAACATAAAATAAAGTTGGAAGGGATCTTGGAGGACATCTAGACCAACCCCCTGCTCAAGCAGGAGAGATCCTATATCATTTCAGACAAATGTTGTCCAGTCTCTTTTTGAAACCCTTTAGTGATGGAGCACCCATAACTTCTGGAGGCAAGCTGTTCCACTGATTAATTGTTCTCACTGTCAGGAAGTTTCTCCTTAGTTCCAGGTTGCTTCTCTCCTTGATGAGTTTCCATCCATTGTTTCTCATGTTGCCTTTTGGTGCTTTGGAGAATAGCTTGGACCCCCCCTCATCTTTGCAGGAGCCCCTCACTGGAACACCGCTATCATGTCTCCCCTAATCCTTCCTAATTTGAGTAATTTCCCGAGTAACATCAGATCAGAATGCACAATCAGGGGGATATTTGGTTATTACTAAACCTGAGCTACCTTTTTGGAGTGACCTGGGAGATGTCACTCATGGCGTGGCCTCTACTGAGTGTAAGGAGTGAACTCATCTCAGCTTTGAGGCTTTTACTGTATTTCTATGATGGTATTCATGACTCTTGGTGTCCCTATGCCAAAATAATTTTACCTGCTAAGGCCAGTGAATCACGGTATCTGACACATAACCTTTATTAGTGTTTTGTACAAAGCGACACAGAATAATTAATCCACATTTAGTTTGAAACTCACCATGGACTTCAGCAACACAATTCACACTTGGCAAAGCTGTCTTTCTAACAACAAGCAACTGCTTAGCTAACATTAACATTGTTTTATGGGTGCCTACAAGATTCGTGGCTGTCTGTCTCTCTCTCTCTCTTTTTTTTCCTGAATGTATCTTTTAAATATTTTCCTTGGAAAGAAGATTTGATCCTCAAGGTTTTATTATATAAAAATAGAATGATCTGTCTCTATATACAAACAGTACATTACATGATATACAGATTCGAGCGAAAAAAGGGGATGAATGCAGACGGTGAGTGAAACGAAGGAGGGAATTTGGGGAAATCGTTAAATACCGCACATTTCATAAAAATTACATTTAACAAGAGTTTCTCGTTTGCAAATATCAAACAGTACCGATGCAATTGGAAATTCTTCCCAACAACTTCATTTATACATCACTGTCTTCTCTGTACAGACACGCATGCATGTTTTATGCATGTAATTCTGGGTGTACGCATGTACAAATATACTCGAGACACATCTTTTTTTCTCTCTCTCCATTGTTGATACGCATGTACGGTATGTTTGTACATATACACATTATTGTATTTTAAGGCACGTTTTACTTAAAACTTATATACATCATCAGACCCCCGTTCACAATGTCTTGGGGAATTCGTACTTTCCGAGGTCCATTCGTAGATGGGGGTGGTGAGAATTAAAGCAATGTTTCGTTTATCAAAAGAGATATAAAAAAGTTTTTTTTTCTCTCCCCCCCCCCCAGAATCTTGGGAGAGACGAAGTGGTGGGAGAGACACTTTGCACATGCTCAGAGTCGCTGTCCTGTTGGCAAAGGAGGAAGAGAACGAACCCTCCCCAACCGGTGCAGCTTTTTAGAAACGAGACGTTGAGGTCTCTTTCCTCAACGAGGGCCAGTGGCTTAAACGCTCACACCCTTCCAGGGCTGGGAGGTGTTTTAAACCTTTTTGCTGGTCTCGGAAGGAGAACCTAAATAATGATGAGAGGGAGATTCGTATAAAGGTACCGAGATTTCCTGAAGGTCAGGCAATCTCCCCGGATGAGGAGGGGACCTCAGGCCCAGTGTCCGGTCATAATCCCGGTGTAAAACCTTCTCGTAGACGCTCTGCAGGCCGACCGTCTTCGGCAGCTGGGCGGGATAGAAGTGGTCCCGATGGAGGGTGTCCCGGGGCAAGGAGGTGGTCCTGCAGAAGGTGGAGAGTTGGGTTTTGGGGTGGGGGGACGTGTGGGGATTGGTCTGAGCGCAGGAAGGACTCCAGCATCGGTCCGAGTGGCCCAGCAGTTTGCATTCGGCGGTGCAAGCCCACAGCCCTAGAAGCAGGCAAGGGACAAAAGCAGGTGTGTGAGAGACCAAAAGGCACAAGACCACGCAGCACAACTGACAGTATTAGGAACTCCAAGTAGGGTACTTTAGTGATCTCTGAGCTGGGGTTTTTTCTTGCAGACGTTTCATGACCCAACCGAGTAACATCATCAGGGGTAGAAGGAAGGGGGTTTGTGGAGAAGAAGAGGAGGAAGAGGAGGAGGAGGAAGAGGAGGAGGACTGTGGGGTCCCGGGTGCTCTCTGAGCTTGGTTGTTTTCTTGCAGATGCTTCATGACCCAACTAAGCAACATCATCAGTGCTAGAAGGGAGATGGAGGAGGAGGAGGAGGAGGAGGAGGAGGAGGAGGAGAACAATGACTGTGGGGTCCTTGGTGCTCTCTGAGCTTGCTTGTTTTCTTGCAGATGTTTCATTACCCAACTAGGCAACATCATCAGTAGATAACATCATCACTAGCCCTGATGACGTTACCTAATTAGGTTAATGAAAGGTCTGCCAGAAAACCACCCAGCTCAGAGAGCACCGAGGACCCCCCACCATTTCAACCCTGAGCTGCAAATATCCTCCTTCATTCATTCCGAACAGGAGGAACACTCCCACTCCCACCTAATAGCAAATTGGTCCCAAACTAGCACACACACACACCTCTGCAAAGCAAAACCAACTATATTCTGGCATTTGGGATTAAGAAGCTGCCATTTTGATTCCGAAGCGGATGGCTAGGAATGGCCCTTCCTCCATTCCTGCCGGATCTCTGGCAACTGAGCTCCTCCCGCGGGCTTCATTTGGATGGATCTGAACCCCTGCAAGGATTTGGGTTGCTAGAAAGCCTGTGACAACAGCACACACACTCAAGCAGGATCCAATCAAAGGGCAGCAACTTAATTCTATTCTGCTCTAAGTCCAGCATTTCTGCAGTCAACCAGACAAATATATGCAGATTTGAGTAAGCAATGAGTAAGTAAGTAAACATCTTCTTCCTCGGTGGATCCTGCAAGCCCCACTTTGAAATTCATTGACTGGTCTCAGAATTGCAAAGCATTGTAGCTTTTGTCACATCGGAACAGTGAGTGCTGGACTTACAACTGCTCATTTAGTGGCTGTTCAAAGTCACAAGGGCACTGGAAAAAATGACTTAGGATCATTTTTTTCACACTTACGACCGTTACAGCATCCCCTTGGTCATGTGATCAAAATTTGAACATTGGCAACTGGCTCATATTTATGACGGTTGCAGCGGTCCCAGGATCATGTGATCTTCTTTTGCGACCTTCTGACAAGCCAAGTCAATGGGGGAAGCCGGAATCACTTAACAACTGTGTGGCTAACTTAACAACTGGAGCGATTCACTTAACAATTGTGACAAGAATAGAATAGAATAGAACAAAATAGAATAGAATAGAACAGAAAATAGAACAAAATAGAATAGAATAGAATAGAATAGAATAGAATAGAATAGAATAGAATAGAATAGAATAGAGGAGAGGAGAAATCAATAGAATAGAATAGAATAGAATAGAATAGAATAGAATAGAATAGAATAGAATAGAATAGAATAGAATAGAATATTGGACTATAGAATAGAATAGAATAGAATAGAATAAATATTGGACTATAGAATAGAATAGAATAGAATAGAATAGAATAGAGAATGGAACGGAACAGAACGGAATGGAACAGAACAGAACAAAACAGGAATAAAAAGAATGGAACAGAACAGAATGAACGTAATGGAATGGAACGGAACAGAACAGAATAAAATAGAACGGAATAGAATGAATGGAACAGAACAGAATGAATGGAATGGAATGGAATAGCAGAGTTGGAAAAAGTTCGTAAAATGGGGCAAAACTCACTTAGCAACTGTCTCGCTTAGCAACAGAAAGTTTGGGCTCAATTGTGGTCGTAAGTCGAGGACTATGTGTCCTGAAGCCCTCAACATGTCGCAACCCTCCACGTTGAGGGAAGGTAAGGATAGGCATAACTTTTCCCACCCACGAAAATTCCTGTGGCTTCATCCATACCATCATTTGGTGGCCCTCTAGACAAGATGGCTGAATTCCCTGGAAACAATATTGACTCCACTAGTGTTTTGTTCATTCAATGGTTCTGTTCATCTAATTTGGGAGGAGGGAGAGAAGGAAGCATGTAGCCTGGAGTTGTGTGTGTTCAAATATCCTAAACTGACTTCTCAAAGTCAATCATCTATGTTTTCCCAAATCTACTGTCCTCAAAATATCACTTCTTATCACTTCTATTGACTGGGGAAGCCAATCCAAAGCAATTTTAAAAAATTGTAAATATGGTTAAAATAACTTGGTTTTCGCTTTGGGGCGATGTTGTATATCTCTACGCTTCTCTCTTCTAAATTCCCCAAGGGGAAAAAAATCAGCACTGATATGAGTCACAATGGACAAATAAAAGACTATTGCAAAGAATCGGGGAATAAAACAGAACTGTTGTGAAAACTGAGTAAATTATCTAAGGATATAGTGTAAAAGTAGTCTTACATCCACAATTTCCGTCACTAAGCAAGGCGGCTGTTAAGCAAATCGGGTTCAATTTTACAACCATTTTTGGTCACGTCTTTAAGTGAACCGTGGGGTCATTAAGCAAATCCATCTTTTGCCATTGACTTTGCTTGTCAGAAGCCTTCTGGGCAAGTTGTAAATGATAATCCAAAGACCCCAGGATGCTGCAACTACACGACAGTTGCCCAAGTGCCCACATTTTTGATCATGTAACCACAGGGATGGTCGTCACTGCCGTGCTGACTATTGCAGTGTTGATGCTGAGATGGTCCTAAGTACAAGGACTGGTTATAAATCTTTTTTTTCCAGCAACATAACTTTGGATGCTTGCAAAACAAATGGTCATAAATGGGGTGGGGGGTGGAGAGCTATCTGTACTGTCATTAAAACTCAGAATGAAATGGAAAAATGAAAAAGAAAGCCTTAGTAAAGTAAAGACCACGTCTGGAATGCTGCATCCAGTTTCGATCCCCACATTACAAAAAAAAAACCAATGTTGAGACTTTGGAAAAAGTGCAAAGAAGAGCAACTAAGATGATTGAAGGCCTGGAGACAAAAACATATGCAGGATTTGGGTTAGGCTAGTCTAGAGAAAAGTATTAGGAGTGACATGATAGCAGTGTTTCAATATTGGAGGGTCTGCCCCAAAGAAGAGGGGGGTCAACCTATTCTCCTAAAGCAGCAGAAACCAAGATAAGAAACAATGGATGGAAACTAACCAAGGAGAGAAGCCACCTGGAATTAAGGAGACACTTCCTAAGAGTGAGGACAATTATCCAGTGGAACAGCTTGCCACTAGAAGTCAAGGGTGCTCCATCACTGGAGGTTTTTAAGAAGAGAGTGGACAGCCATTTGTCTGGAATGGTATAGGGCCTGCTGCTTGCGTAGGGGTCGGACTGGAAGACCTCCAAGGTCCCTTCCAGTTCTATTCTGATCCTGATCCTGAATAATATCTACCTTCCTATTTTCATTATAAGATCCATGGAAAGTAGAAGTAGGGTGCCCAAATACAAGGGTGGCTACAAGATTTAACAAAATGTCAAATCGAATTAAATCCGGAAACATTTCTCCTGGGAATACTTAAAAAGAAATTTGATAAGAAAATAAGATATCTGATCTTACATATACTAACTGCGGCAAGAATTGCATTCGCGCAATATTGGAAGGAACGCAATATACCACCAGAGGGGTTGATTATTCAGAAAAATTTATGAATGTGCCGAGATGGACAAACTCACCTTAGAATTAAAAGAAAAAGATGATTCGGAATTTTATGCGGTTTGGGAAAATTGGTATAATTGGATAGACAACAGAAATAAAAATTGGAAATATACATAAGGTTATTGTGTAAATTAGGTTATTGTGGGTTAGATTGAATGTACATAGTGTATATATTGTATAGAATGTAGATCCATAGTATATAAAAATGACATCGTCTGCTGAATATGTACTGTATTAAAAAAAAAAATTAAAAAAAAAAAGAAGTAGGGTGCCCAAAGCAATGATACATGGCTCAAGTGATACTGTGACCTTCATCTCCTTGATCCTTGTCTATCATTTCAACTTGCCCATCGTAACAGCTTACAGGGAAAAAGCAGACGTGGACAATCTGTGTTCCTTTAGCTGTTTCAGCTTTTGTCAAGCTCGGCCAGCATTACCGGCGATCAAGGACTACACCAACCGAAACCCAAATAATAATAATAATAATAATAATAATAATAATAATAATAATAATAATAATAATAATAATAATAATAATAATAATAATAATACAGTTGGAAGGGATCTTCCAACCTTACAACTTCTCCCTCTGGCAGTTTCTAGATGTGGTCCAATTCTCGCCAAATAGTAAATTCTCTGGGAACAGAAGACGACGCATCTGGAGGTGGCAAGGTGAAGAGACACTGCCCTAATCTAACACAGGGGTTCTTTCCCTTTCACCATGCATGTTTCCAGTTGCAATTTCCCCCTTTTAGTCATGGAGACAAAAGCTGGACTCTGTTCTAAGAATGCCTTCCATTTTCAACGGTCTAAAAATGCCTCCCGTTTTCAACCGTGACCAAACAATGGAGAAAGCTGCAGCTACAAGGAAATTCAATGGTGAAAAAAGTAAGGTTCTACCTTTAGGCAAGAAAAACCAAATATACAGGTATAGTATAGGGGGTACCTTGCTCAGTAGTAGTAACTGTGAGAGGGACCTCGGAGTCCTAGTGGACAATCACTTAAATAGGAGCCAGCCGTGTGCTGCAGCTGCCAAAAAAGCCAACACAGTGCTAGGCTGCATGAACAGAGGGATAGAATCAAGTTCACACGAAGTTTTAATACCACTTTACAATGCCTTGGTAAGGCCACACTTGGAATACGGCGTCCAGTTTTGGTCACCACGATGTAAAAAAGATGTTGAGACTCTAGAAAGAGTACAGAGAAGAGCAACAAAGATGATCAGGAGACTGGAGGCTAAAACATATAAGGAACGGCTGCTGGAATTGGGTATGTCTAGTTTAATGAAGAGAAGGACGAGGGGGTGACATATAGCGGCATTCCAATATCTCAGGGGCTGCCCCAAAGAAGAGGGAGTCAATCTATTCTCCAAAGCGCCTGAAGGCAGGACAAGAAGCAATGGATGGAAACTAATCAAGGAGAGAAGCAACCTAGAACTAAGGAGAAACTTCCTGACAGTTAGAACAATTAACCAGTGGAACAACCTGCCTATTGGTGAATGCTCCAACACTGGAAGTTTTTAAGAAAAGATTGGACAGCCATTTGTCTGAAATGGTATAGGGTTTCCTGCCTGAGTAGGGGGTTGGGCTAGATGACCTCCAAGGTCCCTTCCAACTTTATTATTATTATTATATTATTATCTATCTGCTAATCTGACTTGGAAACGAAACCAACTATGAAGGAAGGCAAATATACGTGTCCCAGGATAATGTTGAAAGGTCCAATCGGGGTAGGTCACCGGGACCAAAGGTTTAATCTTCTGAGCTTTTGTGATGGAGCCCATCCTCAGGAACCGACCCAGAGTGGATCTGGCAAAACCATGTCTTTTACGAGAGACAATCAAACAGAGCTCACATCTCTACTCAGTCATGAACCTTTCTTAGTGACCTTTGATGAGTATCTCTCAGCCTCAAAGCAGTGTAGTGGAAACGGAGGATCGTTCCCTTATGAGCAGCATAATGCAACATTTAATTTAAATGAATCTGTTTCAGTGGGGCAGGTGCATCCTCTATCTTGCAACCAATTCTGGTCAACATACTACAAAAAAGATGTGGAGATGTTGGAAAAAGTTCAGAGAAGAGCAACTAAGATGATCAAGGCCTGGAGACTAAAACATACGAGAAACGGCTGCGGGACTTGGGTTTGGCCAGTCTAAAGCAAAGAAGAAATAGGGGGGACATGATAGCAGTGTTCCAGTATCTGAGGGGCTGCCACAAAAGAAGAGGGGGGTCAAACTATTCTCCAAAGCACCAGAGGGCAGGATGAGAAACAACGGTTGGAAACTGACCAAAGAGAGAAGCATCCTGGAATTAAGGAGAAACTTCCTGACAGTGAGAACAATTCACCAGTGGAACAGCTTGCCACCAGAAGTTGTGGGCGCTCCATCACTGGAGGTTTTTAAGAAGAGACTGGACAGTCACTTGTCTGAAATGGTATAGGATCTCCTGCTTGAGCAGGGGGCTGGACTAGAAGACCTCCAAGGTTCTGCTCTGCTCTGCTCTGCTCTGCTCTGCTCTATTCCACTCCACTCCACTCCACTCCACTCCACTTGATTCTTCCTATTCTATTCTATTCTATTCTATTCTATTCTATTCTATTCTATTCTATTCTATTCTATTCTATTCTGCTCTATTCTATTCCATTCCATTCCATTCCATTCCATTCCATTCCATTCCATTCCATTCATTCCATTCCATTCCATTCCATTCCATTCCATTCCATTCCATTCTATTCTATTCTATTCTATTCTCCTTCTGTATTCTATTCTATTCTATTCTATTCTATTCTATTCTATTCTATTCTATTCTATTCTATTCTATTCTATTCTCCTTCTGTATTCTATTCTATTCTATTCTATTCTATTCTATTCTATTCTAAAAATCTTCTGCCCCACTGGTGCTGAAATCCCCACGAGCTCTCTTGAGTGGCTACAAAGAAGAGCAGGGCTACCGCCCTGCGTATTCCTAGTTTTCCCAAAAGGAATGAGGAATATTTAGGTTACCAGAGGGGCTTTGCAACGCACACCGTGTTCGTTTTACTCTGTTTCAGAAGCCACCGTTTCACCTCCCTGTGAAAATTTTCAGGTCGATCCGCCGAGAGGTGAAAGGAGTCTTTACCGTTCTGCATGTGGGTGATCAGGTCCTTCTTCAGGGCATCTCCGCTGATGTCAGAATCGCTGTCATTGAAGTCGCTGTCCCCTTTGCCACTGTCTTTCCCGCTGAATTTGTCTCCTTCCCGGCCCGACAGAGTGTTGAAAGAGTGGCCCTTCCAGATGGCGACCGGGGCCGCCGGGTCTTTGCCGTAACTAGGGGTGGAAGTGTAAGACTGGGAAGGGGCACCGACGCCAGGAGGGAGAACGAGGGTTGGAGAAGAGACACACAGACAGACAAAAAAAAGAAAAGAAAAGAAAAGGCACAATGATGGTCAGAAGAAAGAACATGAATAAACCAGGCTGATCAATAGACCCCAGGGGACTCTTCTATCTCTATATACCCCTTTCCCCCCGTATTTATAGTTCATCAGATTCTTGAATATTAAAGAAACGAGCGACGAAATTAAACACTGCTATTTTTTCAGATCTGTTCACCAAATGCCAAATCTACAACAGTGACGCCCCCCAACCTTTGGAGCACCAGGGACCGGTTCCAGAGAGAGAGGACCGGAAGGGGCGTGGTTTCGCATCACCCTGCATCCCGTGGATGGGGCTTGGCTTGTTTGCGTGGGCCAATTGCTGCCATGCCGTGGACTGGTGTCGGTCCACGGACCAGGGGTTGGGGACCCCCGGCCTATACCACTGTGCTCAGAAGCCAGATAATCCAGCTGGGTGTCTAATACTTGAAATTCTAACGTGCTTTATTTGCATTCAGGAAACCACTCAACGTGAGTAACTCGAATAGAATAAAATAGAATAAAATAGAATAGAATGTAGAGTAGAGTAGAGTAGAGTAGAGTAGAGTAGAGTAGAGTAGAGTAGAGTAGAGTAGAATAGAATAGAATGGAATGGAATGGAATGGAATGTAGAGTAGAGTAGAGTAGAGTAGAGTAGAGTAGAGTAGAGTAGAGTAGAATAAAGGAGAGGAGAAATGAATAGAATAGAATAGAATAGAATAGAATAGAATAGAATATAGAGTAGAGTAGAGTAGAGTAGAGTAGAGTAGAGTAGAGTAGAGTAGAGTAGAGTAGAGTAGAATAGAATGGAATGGAATAGAATGTAGAGTAGAGTAGAGTAGAGTAGAATAGAATGGAATAGAATGTAGAGTAGAGTAGAGTAGAGTAGAGTAGAGTAGAGTAGAATAGAATGGAATGGAATAGAATGTAGAGTAGAGTAGAGTAGAATAGAGAAGAGGAGAAATGAATAGAATAGAATAGAATAGAATAGAATAGAATAAATAGAATAGAATAGAATAGAATGTAGAGTAGAGTAGAGTAGAGAAGAGCAGAGCAGAAGGGAAGAGAATATAGGAATAGAATAGAATAGAATATAGGAATAGAATATAGATTAGATTAGAGTAGAGTAGAGTACAATAGGAGAAATGAATAAAAGTTATTAATTATGGCCTGAATTTCACTAATTTCAGTGAGATACGCTAAGCTGAAAGGTAAGTTTCCCTCTCTCCACAAGGTAAAGGAAGGCGCAGGAGGTTACCTCCGCGTTCGCTCCTCGGAGTCGGTTCTGGCTGTCGTAGAGACTGGTGGTTTCCCGGCTGTGCTCAGAAACCGGAATATCTTCGCTGGCTGGAGACGGCTCGGGACTAGCGAAGGAAGATTTGCTGGGGAAGGAATGCACATCAAAGTGGGGGCTGGAGGGGTTGAGGGCACCGTCACTGGCGCTTCCATCCTGATGGCCCTGCTCCAGGTGAGAAGTGTCCAGAGGTTCCTCCAAGACCACCTTCTTCTCCTTCTTACGCCGGTTGCAAGTGGTAGCAATGGTGATGATGGCCACCAGGAGCAACGTACAACTTCCAGCCAGGACAATGATGACGATTAAGGGGACATCCCACTGCAAAGGTTGGTCTTCCCAAGAGCTGGGCTTGGCCACCGACTCCTGGCCACTAGAGGGAGGTAGCGATGCAGTCACCAGGAAGTTGACCACGACAGTGGTGGAGAGAGGTGGCAGCCCGTTGTCCACCACAGTCAGAAGCAAAGGATAGACTTGGCCCAGCTGTTCTTCAGATAAGCTCCTTCTGAGCGTAACCTCCCCCGTTTTCTGGTTGATGGCAAAAAGGTCTAGAGATCTTTCCTGCTGCTGGGGATCCTCCGAGAAAGCGAAGCTCAACTCTGCGTTGACCCCCTCATCTGCGTCCCTGGCTTTGACGTGGACCACAAGGGAGTCCCGGGAAGCTCTGCTGGACACCCCAATTTCAAGGGACCCATTGGTGAGCGCAGGAGAAGTGATGACCGGAGCGTTGTCGTTTTGGTCCATCACCCGTACCTTGACCAAGGCCGTGCTGGAGAGCGGAGGAGATCCCCCGTCCGTGGCTTGGATGGACAAGTCCACCTCTTTCAGGATCTCATAGTTGAACGTTCGGAGGGCGTAGATCGCTCCGGTGGCCGGATCTACCGACACGTAGGTGGAGATAGAGGCCCCCATGATTTGGTCGTCCAGCAGCCGGTAGCTCACCTTGCTGTTGGATCCAAAGTCCGGGTCGGAAGCCCCCACGGTGGTCAGGTAGGCCCCCGGGGGGTTGTTCTCCGGCAGGGCCACCTCGTAGCGGGCCTTGGCGAAGCGCGGGGCGTTGTCGTTCTCGTCGGCCACCCGCACCGTGAGCGAGCGGACCGTCTTGGCCGGGGGCGAGCCCAGGTCCTCGGCCACCAGCGTGAGGTTGTACTCGGCCACCCGCTCGCGGTCCAGGGGGCCGGTGGTCAGCACCAGGTAGCTGGCGGCGTCGTAGGCCCGCTGCAGGGCGAAGGGCTGGTGGGGGGCGGCCAGCAGGGCGCAGCGCACCTGGCCGTTGGCCCCCGCGTCGCTGTCCGAGGTGCTGACCAGCGCCACCAGGCTCTGCGCGGCCGCCGCCTCGCTCACCGACGCCACCGCCAGCCCGGCCGTCTCCGCCTCGTCCGCGCCGCCGTTGCCAGCCCCGCCACCGCCACCCCCGGGCGCCAGGGCGCTGATGGCCACGTCGGGG